CCCGACGCCGAAGTCAATACCTTAGCAACGGAGCCACCGAGTCATCACTCACAACTACATATTTACGGCATAATAAAACGATGGCTTCCTTCACTATTTTCTGTGTAGTGTAAGCTGGCCCGGTATACACTGCGCATAAAGTTTCGCATAGTGGTAATGGATTGTACATAACTTTTGCAATGCAAAAACCTATTGAATTTGTTGTAAGTACGATAGAAACTGATGCTAGTAAGCAAGTAAACGACTGCTGTGTAAGGAGTTCCCGCGCTTTCCACCAACAATGTAGCGCCAGTTTCAAATGTAAACATTACGAACATACGAAACAACTATCGCGAACGGCACCTGATCATTTGTTAATCGTTGAGAAACATAATATTGATAGTTATCCGCCGGTTGCACAAGCGTGCCCACAAACGCTTTATGGCTCGATGATGGAATGAGTAACGACGCTCGAAGACGATTGATGAACACTAAACTCGAATTGTATGAACAGAGATAGTGTATTTGCTTATAAGGGTTACGATAATATTAAAAAACCCTCTCTACGGTTTCGCAATCACCTTTAATGCTGACGTTTAACGCAAACGGCGCTTCGAATACTTCACAGTACGAATTGTTACGGGACTGGGGCTAAAATAATTGGAAATTTTATTAATTTAGTAATGTTTGCGTCGATTTTGCTACGTGTAAGTTGACGATACAAATATCCTATATTATCTTGATGGCAGATTATAGCTCGAGCAACTTGAGTTCAAACCGCAGTGCCGGCGCCAATGAAATTGTTAATTTTAAGTGCTGACTTATCACATGCTTAACGGCGACGGAAAACATCGTGAGGCAACCTGTATTTTCGTAATAATAACAAACAAAATACTGCGAAAATCGTTCGCCAATCAGAGTCGGGTGGTTGACTATGTCCTAATACTGCACAGAGGCGGCCTTTGTATATTATACGTTATATACATTATATACATACATTTATAGGCTGTTACTTTAATTTTTTTAGTTATATTTAATGGGCGATCTGTGATTTTTGCCCGTATTTGTAAATTAGAAAAATAAAGAATTTGAGACATCAACTTGATTAAAACTGGAGCACAATCTCGTAATAAAAACAATATTAAGAAGGTCAACAATATTGCGTTTAAATTTAGCGAAAAATATTATTAACGCGCAAACGCTGTAACGATTAACGATTTGTTTCCAACTGAAATTTTATTTGTCTAGTTTAATGACAAACGTAACGCAACGAAGACATCGGGTAATATCTTACTTTGGGCGAGCGATTTTCAGAGTTATTCAATTGAAATGTTGTAATAAAAATAATTAATGACCCGTCGCTGCTTTAGTACATTTGTACGTCCATACTCCATAGTAGACTTCTGGACTAAGCCTTCTATATATCAATGTTATTCTGATACATTTAGAAAGAGTTTTGTTTTTGGTTGTAGGGAAACCTCACCACGATTCCTTACTTATGATATCTCGACATATCACGTTTAGACACTCGATGCACGCTTACGATCTACGATGATCAGTGTTTCAGAAACCGGGCATTAGGCTACTTAAACACTCGATAACCGTAATTAAGATTGCAGTACCTTCTCAAGTTCAAGGTATCACGCGTTAACTCAAAGGTAAGTAAAAAGGACAATAATAATGCTACCCACTCCACTCCGCGAGTGGTATTAAATATCATATGAAATCATAGATACCATTTCTAACAGACATTATTTAGTAGCATAAATCGTAAGACAAATGTAAGTACAGTAAATTTTGAAAGTTATTTACGTCTAAACTATCTATTATTTATATAAACAATGCTATTCTAAAATCGTAAGGTTCGAAATCGGTCGCTAAACTCATTATATCGCAATAAATATCAACTCTCGTATAGCGAAAGCCGCAGTTGTCGAGTGGGTGGCAGCTGCGCCCACGTTTCTGAAGGCATTGGTTCAAAACTCGATGTTGTTTGAGCTTTAAAAAAGGGCTGTGTTCGTGATTAGGATTGGCTAATTATGTTGTTTCAGAAGAAACATTATAAATCACTTCTCAATTTTGTTAGTATTTTAATTTATGTAAAACGTATCCGAATTTAAATAATAAGGTCAATAGGTTACAGAAGTTTCAACATTTTGACGTCTTTCGAAAATTCCATAGTTCCTCTAAGCACCAGTTAAATCTGTATAACGGCCAGTGTTTTGAACTTTCTGTTGACGGAATACGAGTGAAGAATGTTATTTTATCAAAAAATTGTTCAACAATAACGAAAAATATTCCCGCCTCTAATTGGATACCGCCAATTTCATAGAATAAAAGTTTTGAGAGAATTTTAACCAGCTTTAAAAAAATATGGTACAATATTCAATACAGGAATAGTTTTCAATTTTTGAAAACTTTACAATAATTACTTTCCTTTAATGCGATTCATACAACCAAAAATTACCTTTTAGGTTTCCACCTCCGGATAAAAACTCCAAACATATTGAACGTATGCACTTTATCACATCACTGGCACAATGCAAAACGAGAAAAATATATATTTTAGTTGGAAGGGGCCAACCACACTATAAATTCCACTGTATTCGTCAAAAATCACTTTTAAAAACTCAAAACTTGTCTATGGATGCAGTTGGAGCGTAAGTCGGAAAGTATTCCAAATATAAAATCACCCCATCGCTGTTTACAAACAAACACCACGTTCCGAATTCGAAAATAGAAGCGACCTCACATGGCACACAGTCGACACGGACGCGGAGATTATTAGTTCATTAACGAAAAACAGTCAGAAATTATCAAAATAAATAGACGCGGAGCGAGACGCACGAGACGCGCGTACTAAACGGACGCTGCGAAGCGACTGGAGAGTTGCTGACTGAGCGTTCAGCGTCGAGCGACTCCCGCTTGCAATATGCAGCTCGTATTGGTACCCCTGTTGCTTTGTATTAATAAATTCTCGATGTCAACCGCTTCGCGCACCGGCTTCGGCGTGGGGTTGAATGGGCCGGTCACATAATAACACCGCGCCGTAACGCGTTATCTAATTCACATTGACACTAATCCGCGCGTTAGTTATAAACGATCGCAGCCGCCATTATTGGCGGATGATAGATGGCGGCTCGTACTAAATCCGTGGTTATTGGCTGTCTATTTGGTAAAAATTAAGCAAATAAAACAAGTTCCCGATAGCATAGGCACTGGAAGCTACAAACAACTAAGGATTTGTAAAAATAACGTTTCAAAATGCTTATTTCTATTCTAATGTTAGCGTTGAACTTAAGGCTGCCAAAGCGTATGACCCAATTAATATTGAGTCATACGCTTTGGAAAAATTTCAAAATAACCTGGGTTAATTACAACGTAACGCGTTAGTGTTACGTAGTAACTAACCCAAAGGCAAAGAAGAAGAATGATAGAAGAGTGATACATAACAAAGTAATCATACTAAAACTATTCCAAATGATAGAGCGCCTACACCGCATGAGGTAAAACGTAAAGGGCGGGGAAAATGTGGGTAAAATCGATAGACCGCAAGAGATAAGGAAACTGGCACAATTCAGTGTGGTGACTACGGAATCATTCCCGCGAGGATCGGGAGTGACGAGTCGCGTCCCAGTTTCCAGTTTGCGGACGTGCCCGCGTTGAATTCCGAATGAGGCGCAACCCCATATTCAGCGAGGAAATCTTTTGTCCCTTTCTTTTTCTTTGAAAACATGCCCACGGTGGGATTACGTTATCGTGTAACGATGGTGCGTTTTGTATACACAGAGCGCAGAGTTCGAAACGTCGCGAATTAAAAATCAAAGTTAAGACGCGGTAAAATCCATAAACTAGTTTCATTAACTTAGCTTAGATATGAAAAGCAAAGCTAATCACGTAGACCAGTAAGGAGAAAGGATTTTCAAATATAGAGAATGAATGTTTGTATTTTTTTTTTATTAGAGAAAGGTGCAAACGATGTGTGCAAACGACAACACCCGTAAAGTTGCATATGCGTTGCCACCTATAAATAAGGTGGGCCCTGGCTACCTCACTCACCAGACGAAACGCACTACTTACTACTTTAGGCCGGTCTTCTGTGAGATCGTGGTACTTATCCGGACAGACCTGACCGTTCGTGCAAGTGTTGCGTGGTCCTACCACAGTTGAATTTCATTTTTAAGACCCGAATGGCGTTGTGGGTAGTGTACCTGCCTCCTGCGCCAGAGGGTGTGGGTTCGATCCCCACTACTGGATAAATGTGTATAATATGTATTTATGTTAATATATGTATAATATGTATTTATTTACAAAAGAAAAGTATGTTTATGTATGTTTAACAGTTTTCTAGTACTCATAGTACAAGCTTTGCTTAGTTTGGGACTAGAGAATGTTATGTAAAAATGTATCCTAAAATATTTATTTATTTATTATTTATAATTTTTGTATATTCGATGGAACCGGAATATTTGTCTGCAAATCCGCAGTGGCGTCGTGTTCCAATCACCAGGCCATAACTTATAAAAACTTCCACTCCACACCGGTCTTCTGTGAGGCCGGTATTTAGACGTACTCGGACGAACCTCACTATTAGGTGATTCCGTTGCACAGTAGTCAAGGTATTGGCTTCGGCGTCGGTGTCGTGGGTTCGATTCCCACACGGGACAACCATTTGTGTGATCCACAGATAGTTGTTTCGAATCTGGGTGTTTGTCCACGTGAAATTTATGTATGTAAAATGTCCTTGCAACACAGGATAAAGGTATCCTAAAGTGAGGCAGTGAGTAATAAGTGAGGAAGTGAGTAAATATGGCCAAAATTGCTTCATTTAAATGTCAAATCGTCCGCACCTACATACATATAACCCTGCCTTGTTATTATTGTGTGTCACTTCCTTTTGCAATTCACAACACTTCTCGGCTGTTGCAATCTCGTGACCGTCTCACGCAAAGCGCCTCTTCATCTACGAACCTCCGATTATGATATTACGGCGCGATGCATGGATAATTCACAACTCAGTCATGCTGCCCGTAAGTGGCAGTCTACGGGCAGGTTTCACAGCTTGGGATATTCGCTTATGCTCTGTGCAGTCCTCGGTTCATATCCAACTTGAGCCGAAAGCGTGGGAACTGAAAATAAAGGAATTTAGGAACGCAGCCTCGGCGGCTTGGCGGTTAAAACATTAAATAAAATGTATGTAGTTAATTACAGTTAAATTTTAGTTTTATAAAAACCTTGTGTTAATCATAGATATTTAAATTGCACATGTTTAATTTGTTTTAAGTGAAACAATCATAATAACTAAATTAACAAAAGTACATGGGAATTTAAGTACGTGTATCGATCTGTTATATACAAACATCTGTTATGTACAAACACATATATATACACACACGGATACACATATTCCTCTACATGCTTGTATATTCTTTGTAATGATGTAGTTTTATATCACACCTTTTAAAAGATTCTGTTACGGGGTGGAGTGTTGAATACTTGAGACACAGGATTCGTCCTTTTTTTTTTACGTGGAAAGCATCCTTTATGGATCCCCGCCACCTTGTGTGTAGGCAGCAAGGGTATGTGGGAGTTATGGGGTGTGGGGTTTTGAATCGTATTTTATAATTTATCTTAAGTTTATAGCCACTCTTGTTGATTATGGTGAGGAATAAATTATTATTATGATTATTATTATTATGATTATATATTAATATTGTATCGATACTCTATGGCTGATGCATTCCACCGCTCTACAAAGGAGCTGTGTCAGCATATTCATAGTCTCTAAGCGCATCAGATGGAAGCTAGTGCGAGGACAGTCGTAAGACAGTCGTTAGTTAGCCTCAATCCGGTCTCCATCCTCTTAATATATTTTTCTAATTCCATTTTGTAATAAACCAGCGTTAATAATACAGTTCCTTTTTAAAAAGACTTTCGCAATATCCCTTATAACAGATCGCGACGACATCCCCGCCTAGCCCCGGCATTTCCCGCGATCGCCCGCGAGCTATAGCCAATCCCGGAGATTCCGGGAACTGGCGCTCGGCACCTGGCATTTGCGTAATGGCAACTCAGCGGCGCCGGCGGCGTCACACGTGGGAGGCTAAGTGCCGAGCGGCAGAACGATTTCCCCACGGCCACAAGGGAACTTCGTAGTTGGAAGCGAGCGTATAAGGAGTGGAACCATTTTCTGGCCCATACGGTAACTACGTGGAGCCTTAACGGCAAGATTGACTGGACTTTGTCGGAGCTGGTGCGTTGGACTTTGTCGGAGCTTACCACCAAGGGATACTTCGACGCCGAATGGAGTAGAGACTACGTTCCAGATCGGAATGCCTTCTGGTGCTATACAAGACGGTTTATCTCATGATGTTACGCTCTCGGTCAGTGTCGATAATGTAAAATTTTAATGCCTCTGACTGATGATCTTGTTACCTTTTATGTGACCGTTTATGTGGCTTGGACTTCATTAAATGTATCGGCATTTATGTATTATTAGTTAAGTTGTAATAACATGCAATTAACAAAATTTAAAACTCAGCGAATGTCATTGTATTAATAGTATACAGTGTTATACTTTTAAAAGATTTAAGTAAAGGTTGTCGGCTTTGTAACCCGTCAAGAAACACACGCAAGAAATTACTGTAGCGCTAGCTAACATAATAAAAACTACAAATATAATAAAAGTAGAACTCCACACCGATGTTTTTTTTTATGCGAAAAGTTGCCAGGCTACCTCACTCACCAGACGAAACGCGAAAGTATTTGTCATACTTCCACTTTACGCTGGTCTTCTGTGAGGTCGTGGTACTTACCCGGACGGGCCTGCCGACGGGCCTGCCTGACGAAGCTGCCGTAAAACCACCACGGTTTTAAAAATGACTATGAAATAACGCATCTCTTAAGAAATTACCTAAGAGAAAGAATAAGTATAACCTCAACCTCAACCTCAACTTGTAAAAAATATAGCACAAAATATTCTTATACATTCTTAGACCTTTGACAAGTAACATTATGTATATATAAGGTAACGCGAAGCCATTGGATTTGCGAGCCAAAGGGTTGTCAACTAGTTTATTCTTGCAAATATGTTTAACGTAACTATCGTTTCATATAAAAATCGTTCATCACACAGGTATGAAGAATCCAGGTAGATCTTACACATTATCGTTTTCTAATTCGATATTGGGAACTATGTAAGTAAAGTTTCCTAGAAAAATACTCAAACAGTTACTCCGAATTGTTTACCATATAAAAACAGATCGATTTCAAATTGCATTTTCGTCTATTGTTTGAGTTTTTTTTCACCCTTTACATAATCCAAATACAGTTGCAATCGTTCGAAACGGACACAATTACATATTATAACGGTAATAAAACCACTCGTATACTACTGCCCTCTTTTTTAGCAATTATGCTCGAGGAAAAAAATTAAATTAGCGATGTCACGAGCGGCCATAAAATACCCGGGTGTGGCTTGACAGCCTTACTTAATTCCCACTACACATTCCCTTGGGAGGGCCTCCACGCGACCTACTTTCGGATAAAAATGGCAGTTTTAAAATATACCGCCTTCGCATTGGCTATAGGCCATTTAACTAACTTAATGCCCGATTACCGGCTTAAGCTTACGTACACATGGCACTTGTAACTAACAAGGTATTTTACAACCTTAATCGTTGTTATTAGATTATTCATATACGGCTTTTTTATCACGGATGACTTGACTGTTGTCCTAACCGATGGTAATTAATGTAGAAAAAGATGGAGAACAATTTATTAACATTTTAAAATTTAGTATGTACTGAAAGTCATCAATCCGTTCAGTTTATCGTATATGGTCTATTTGCACTTGCTTACACAAGATAATTTGTTCAAACTGGATTTTTTTTACTATTCGGAAAATATACATTTTCTTACGATGTTTTCTTTCATCGGCGAGCACGTGATAAGTCACCACTTAAAATTAAAAAGTTCGTTGTTGCCGGCAGTGGGATTTGAACTCAGGTTACTCGAGTATCAATTAGAAGCGAGCGTCCGGCCACTGAGCTATCATGATATCTTTCATGATAGCTCAGTGTCGCGGTTAATGGGAGAAGATAGCAAACTACCACGCGGTTCATCGGAATTCAAGTGGTCACCTTCGCCCGTGGTCTTCAATACCCAATACCCGTGGGGTCTTAGAGGGAATGCTAAAGTGTAGATACCTATAACAATGGCAAGACTGCCGAATCATACAACAGTACAAGTTACTTCGTTGCTCTAACTCAGTGAAAATTATCGTCTTTGCTGACCGTATTACGAAATTTGAACCCGCTAGTGATAATCAAATAATAATCGCGTCTCAAATTATACATGAATCAACTCTTATACTAATGCTTTTAATTTGTATGACTCAATACTAAATCAATTAGTGTCAAGCACTGCTCTTAAATTAAAGTCCACTCAAATACCGCTGTAATCGAAGCTAACAAAGTAATGCGGTCGTAATTGCATCGTGTCAGATTCCTTAGATAATTTTAAATGACTGTAATGACAAGTGCATCGGAGTTACAATTTGTTTAATGTGACAGGTGATACGGGCATGCGACTACAGATGTTAAATGATTACCATACATAGATAGAGACAACATAGCACCTGCAAATTTATACAGAACGTTTGCGCCTTCTAGTAAAATTGTTCTCCATTTATCTGCCGAACCCAAAGGGTTAAACGGGACCCTATTACTAAGAGTCCGCTATCTGTCTGTCTGTCTGTCAGTAAGCAAAATTTCATAGATGATGTATTTCTGTTGCCGCTATAACAACAAATAGTAAAAAAGAGAATTAAAAAAGTTTAAGTGGGGCTCCCGTCCAACAGACATGTTTTTTTTTTGCAGTTTTATAGATAATGCTACGGAACCATTCGTGCGCGAGTTCGACTCGCACTTGGCCGGTTTTTAACCGACAATAACAAGTAGGAGATTCTCAATTAGCCGTTATTCTTTTGTATGATTTTTTTAATTGAAAAATTGTCAAACGAGCAGGGGGTTCACCTGATGTTAAGTGATTACCGCCGCTTGCAGATAAATGCATTGACAACCCTTAAAATAAGTGGGCCCCGGCTACCTCACTCACCAGACGAAACGCAGGAGTAAGTATAACACTTCCACATCACGCCAGTCTCCTGTGAGGCCGTGGTACTTACTCGGACGGATCAGATTTTTATTGTATAAGTTTAAGCAGAATTAAGACGTACATTCAAGAATTCAAATGTAACAATGATGAGTTTAATCTCCCCCTCTTTCTCCTATCCCACACTGGGTGGGCTCGCCACATGTCCTATCCTCCCACTTTCCTTTTGTATTTTATAATATATTATATAAATATACTTTTTCAGATATCCTATGCAAGTTGCATTGGCAACCACACCCTAACCTGATTAAAGACGACTATTTCTTGAAATTTTCGGATAAATATAATATTCGGATTCCCGGGAACGGGAACCAGAGTTTACACGTATCGAAATGTTATTCCGTTTTCTTAGAGGATTCTCCTAATAATCCATTATTTAACTTTTCCAGCCTTCTAATACCAACGATTTCTTAGTAACACCTCAAGATAACACCGTCCAGCCATCAAGATATGGTATGGTGACGCATAAACACTTTCCCAGGCCGAAATGTATTTGGAAGTAGAAAGAGTGATGACGCAGATGATAACAGAAGATGCAGACGATAACGTTCCATTCTGACGTCCGGGGAATTGTGACGCTGGACGTGACCGAAATACTAATATTTCCCGCATAACACAACCGGAAAAATCGTTAAAGACAATAAAATGGAATTCAAACCCGCGACCATGGATCGTGGGTTCGACGCCTCAGTAAGGCTGACTAAACCTCAATGTTCATTAAACTTATTTAACGCAATGAAAATTTAATAAAACAGAAATATCATATCAAATAAAAAATACATCACCTAGGTTTCGAACCTCTTTAGTGCTGTGAGTTGTAAAAGTTATCTACAGAAGTTACCTTTGAGGACCTAATTAGCGTATTGTTCGATCCCCACTACTTTTTTTACGTTTTTTTAGTGTCTGGGTTTTTATATACCTGCTTATTTACATAAGAATGTTTATGTATGTTCGTCCGTTATATATAACCCATAGTTGAAGCTTTGATTAGTTTGGGACTAGATAACGTTGTGTAAAAATATGTCCCGAAATATCTATTTATTTATTTACTGTTTACTGTAGGCCACATCTGCACGGGCTGACACGACCACGGCCTTTACAAGAGCAGCGTCAACCAGATTTATATACTCCTGGGTCTCATTCAAAGATTCAGATAAAAGCACCTTCTAAAGGTGTCCAGTACTTTTATTACTCACCAACAGGGAATCGCCGCATTTGCCTTCTTTTCTAGGAGAAAACAGTAAAGAATAAAAACTGTTTCCGTCTTTTGCAACTAAGGTCAACTTCCACAAATAGCCCATAGATAGCTTTATTAAGGAAACCATAAAGTTATTTTCATTATAAAAGAAGGTGACTGCATGGTCATACACTTAAATAATTGCTTATTTGTTAATAGTAGTGGTAAATCGTTAAAGCATTTTTGAAAACGGCTTTTGCACTAGATCATAGTAGGTTCAAGCAATATGCAAAAAAAGGACACTAAGACCCTTGTATCTTGTATGAACTGATGTTTTTGCTTTCAGTCCCGAGACTATTAAAGCTTCATCTGACGCAGAACCGGTGGGCTAGCCAGTACCCACGGGTTTGGGCCCTCCGCTGTGGGTAGGGCCGCGCATGTGCTCATGCGTGCGTTTAACTACGACATGTCATCTAAGGGCCATCGAAGTTGTACCACACTAAAACCCAGAACCACTACTGTAGCATATAAATTTTATACATGATCGAACCCACATCTCCGCGCATTAAAGTGTGCCTCGACCAGTGCGTCACCCGTACGTAGTAACAAAAGCCGTAAATCACTAAACAACCGCTACAATTACTAGACGGATAGCACAATCGGCGGCGCGTAGCGTGACGCCGGTCGCAGGTTCGACGCTCGGCCGGTCACGATAGCTCGTTAATGCCGATGGCCAAGTCGGTAAGTCGCTGTACACACCGACGCGATGTTGTTAGGGTTGTCGGGTTAAAATCTTGACAGT